AACTTTATGACTTTCATCAAGCAATTTATCCAACCCAACATTATGAAGAATAGACTGAGTGTTATAGATGACCAGTTCAGGATACTTGATATACCTTGTTGGGAGAATTTTCAGTTTACAAAGTTCCCTATATTTCCTAACAAGAGGTTTAAACAACAGATAATCCTCATAATGTGAGGCTTTTACAGAGGAGGAACTAGATTCGGGTTTAGACCTCTTTTTGGGTGGCTTGGGAGGCATGATAAGTTAGGGTTTTGAAAAGATTAGAGAAAATTTTCAATTTCCTGTAAACAAAAACCAATATAGAGCAAATTAACAAAAAGCCCTAGAACAAAAAACCTAGATTAGGAAGAGTTAATGCTAGAACAATGAAATAAGGTTAAACAGATGAGAGGAAGATCATTACCTAGCAAAAACTGTCAGAAAATGATGAAGAAATAAAATTCCGGTCGATGAAGCCAGGCGACCGTGAAGAGTTTTCGCAAATTTGGGAAAAATGACGAAATGAGGAGAAGGAGAAGGGTCGGGTCAAGGAGATGAAGAGGGAACGGTTGGGATTGATCCACGAAGGGATGGGCGGTGATGAGCAGTTCGGGTCTAAAACAGAGACCAAATAAAAACCGAAACCCAGTAAAAAGAAAACCTCGCTGCTGTAGGAATTTAATTTCGGTCGACCGACGCGGTCGACCGGAATGCTTACAGATAACCGTCGGTCGACCGGGTCGGTCGACCGAAAGGAAGTAAAAGTGCAGATAAACATAAAAATGGTTTTTGAGATATTTTTCACTATAAACCCTTTTGGAAATTTGTTTTGCGATCTACTAAAAGTTTTATAAGATATATATAAGTAATTTTTTGTCTATTAGGTCGACCGGAATGCTTCCAGATAACCGTCGGTCGACCGGGTCGGTCGACCGAAAGAAAGTAATAAGCATAAACCTGATTTTTGAGATATTTTTACTATAAACTCTTTTGGAAATTTATTTTACAAACTACTAAAAGTTTTATAATATGTATATAAGTAATTTTGTCTATTAAAAAACATATAAATAATTTATTTTGACATAACGAAATTTATTTGTTATTCAAAGCCAAAAAGAAATTTTTCAAAACAAAAACAAAACAAATCATTAAAAAATACTATATAAGTCTTTTTGGTACCCAAATCATTTTGGTACCACTAGAACTTGGGACATGACCCCTATCATTTAAATCCAAGGCCCTAGGGTTATGAACCCGTTTGAGCGTATTTTGTGCACCAATACGATCAAAGCAAAAATTATAAACGTGACCCATACGATTGTAATTTGTGCAATGTAGAGGTTTGAATGGTTTGCGTTGACCAAAATAGAATGTACGTGGTTCATTTGCAAAAATAGATTTTCCTTTGTAATTATTTTGCAAACGAGAATTTCTTTTCAAATCGAAACAAAACATGGCCAAATGACCAAAACGATCACAATAATCACATTTATACACATGAGCATGTTTATGATTTACACTATGTGTGTGTACATGTGTATGTGATGAAGAAGCTTGATGGGATGCACAATCATGTGTAGGCTTGTCAATTTTTGGTGCATTATGACAAAATTGAGCTAAATGGCCTTTAAGACCGCAAATAGAACATTTGTGAATTTTGTCATACATATGTGCATAGTGAATAGGTTTCTTGGAAGAATTAACATTAACCTTTGCACATAAGTCCATAAGCTTTTTATTATTAGCAATACAAGTATTTAGTGTTGAATCTAAGGTAGATATTCTTTTTCTCATTTGATTCAACTCATCATTGTGCATACAAGTATTGCTACTAGAAGTAGGATAAACAAGATTACTCATCATAGATTTTAACTTATCTACTTCTAACATAGCATCACGTTTTTCATGAAGCAAACTAGCATTTTCAATTTTCAAATTTTTTATTGCATTCTTTAAGAATTATATTTTCATTTGCAATAAAATTAAACTTAGTAGCTAGTGTTTCATGAATAGATTTTATATTAACATACTTACTTTTTACATCAATATAGCTATTGTGTAATTTTTCAAACTCAAGAGCAAGTTCATCAAAAGTAATAATATCATCGTTATCGCATACCTCACTAGGGTTATTACCTAGTGGTATTGTACATGGGGATGAGGCTTCCTTAGAGCTCAAAGCGGGATTTTCCAACGCTTGTTGAATAGCCTCCAATTTTCCTTCATGTGCTTCAATAAGTTTCCGTAAAGCATAAGCACTATCAAAATTAGCAAGTTTGTTAGAAAATGATGAGTGAAAAGCGCTAATCAAAAATCCTAACAAAAGCTTATTCATGTTAATTGGATTTTTCCAAGATGGGAATAACATAACCATCCTCAATAATTTCCCACAAATCAAATTGATTAGATTGAACAAAAAGTTTGAATCTAATACGCCATTGAGCATAGGGAAAAATATCCAAACGAGGAGCAATATTAATAGCATATCCTAAGCAAGATGAATCATTCATATCCATAGAGATGAAATGCAAGAGGCACAATAATCAAAATTAGATTAGCACTAATAAGATAACTTGGATCTTTAACTCAAGGCGGTTAGTCCATAAATCAAAGAGCACCAGGCTCTGATACCAATGGTTGGACCCTAGAGGGGGGGTGATTAGGGTCTTGTGCTAATCTAATACCAAATAATAGCAATTAAAATTATGTTGATCAATATGTTCTTGCAAGAGATAGATATGGACAATAAGAACAATAAGAATATGCACAAATAAAATATGAGATAAGCAAAACACAAACACACGATATGTTTATGAGGTTCGGTCCCCACGACCTACGTCCCCGCTCCTCACCTCGAGGAGTTATCCACTATCACAATCCGGTTTGGAAGCCGGAACTTCTACACACTCGGTTTACAAGTTCACCGAAAACTCTCACACTACACAATCACTCAACAATCACACTTTACACACTAAGTGTAGGAATCTAGCCCGTGTCCTCCTCCTCAAGTGCTCGATTACAACCTCTCCCTAGGTTCGTCAATCGACGCCACTCCTATTGGATTTGACCCCGTCTCTCTCTCCTCACACTTCTCTCGGTGTACAAGTGTATTACAAGTGATTCTCACAAATAAAAGTTAAATACAATGATTTGTTCTCAATTAACAAGTGAGAACACAATAAAGCTCACACTCACTAAATCCCACACTACAACCCACAATATATAATATGAGAATATCAAGCTCAATAAGTGTGTGTGATAATAGTGAATCAAACTCAATAAATAACTTAATGAATATAGCTAATCAAATTGAAAGTGAAATAATAAGCTATATAGGAAAGAGTTTAGAAAACTTCTCAATGAACAAGAAGAGCTGAAGAAATAATGATTCCAATAGGATTTGAAAGCTTCTTCTTGTTGTAGAAAAACTTCTCTTGAAAACAGATTGATGAAAAATTCTCTCGGTCGACCGGTGCGGTCGACCGGAAGGCTCTCTGGAACTATGCTATGAAAAAGAACAACTGTCGGTCGACCGTACCGGTCGACCCGAAAACTGATATGGGTAAAATGACAGGTTTTGGTCAGTTTTGAAAATTCGTTAAAAATATCAATTCATATCCAAAAATAGTGAAACTTTGGGGAAAGTTTATAAATGATGAAATGAACATGTTTGAAAAGGAATTTTTGGAAAAACAAATTTCGTTTGTGAAAACTACCTGTTTTTGAAAAATGCTTAGAAAACCTGTATTTTTATGAAAGTGAAAGATGATATAGGACTTGTAAATATTCATATATATATTGTGCATATATTATATGTATATAATAAAGTATGAGAGAGATGTAAACAAGAGATAAAGATATTTTATCAACGTTTAATGAAAAATCATCTATATGATAGAAAACGTCAAAGATCGTGTTAAGTGTATATATATTGAGCTTAGATATCATCATACAATATATGTAAGTAAACTAAACAAATACCTAGGTAAATCCACGCAGATGAACTTGAATCTTTAACGCTTTATTGACGCGTGTTGAAATACCTAAAAAGAAAACATAAACACAAAACACTAGAAAAACTTATTAGTAATAAATTGTTTGTCAAATCATCATCAAAACTATAGGGTCAACATTAATCGAGTTAGAATCATGAAACACGCATGCGAACACAAACTGTAGAAACTATAATCACCAGGCTTCTGGCCGCTGGCTGGTCGACCGCGACCTAAGGGCCGGTCAACCGCGCCGTGTGCATGACCATGTACATATTTTGACTCAAATTGTTGTTTATCGAGGGATTTTTCTCAATTGACCTGCATTGTTCTAGGATGTTTATGATCAGTTTAACACCTGAAATATTTGTGAACATAAGATATAGATCCGCACATCGAGATACGTGCACGAACACTTGAATTATGTTCTTAGTTGAGATTATATGCATAATTGAGATGTGCAACATATGTCTAAATTCGTAGATGTTGGTATAACACATGATCATTCATAATTCATTAGTTGTAGATGCACGGTGTGGATGTTTCCACGCAATAAGACCGCGATTGTACCATACTAGGAGTATTGAATGTTTCCCGTAATGAGACCACGACTGTACCATTACTCTAAGATGATCGGGATTTTTCGGGATTAGGCTGATATGCCTATACTCCGCTGTATGATCATCTAGATGCATCATCCGGAATAGGGAGATATACCTATTGTTGTAGAACGATTGAGTAAGGACGTTGAATCCACATGATATTGTCAAAATCTTACAAGAGTATCGTTAATTGATAAA